ACGCTTGGGGTTATGGTAACTCCAAAGTAAATGATGAGTTTTCTTTTTTATGTTATGAATGTTGTTTTGGTTCAGGTAGTCATACTGTTTTAGTAAACTGTAGTAATTTATGTACTGGTCAAACAACAACAACAACAACAACAACAACAATAATAATAAAGTTGGAGGTCTTCTAGTCCAACCCCCTACTCAGGCAGGAAATCCTATATCATTTCAGACAAATGGCCGTCCAGTCTCTTCTTAAAGACTTCCGGTGTTGGAGCATTCACAGCTTCTGGAGGTGGTTGTTCCACTGATTAATTGTTCTGTCAGGAAATTTCTCCTGAGTTCTAGGTTGCTTCTCTCTTTGGTTAATTTCCATCCGTTGCTTCTTCTCTTGCCTTCCGGTACTTTGCAGAATAGTTTGCTCCCCTCTTCTCTGTGGCAGTCCCTGAGATATTGGAACACTGCTATCATGTCACCCCTCATCCTTCTCTTCATTAAACTAGACATACCCAATTCTAGCAACCATTCCTTATATGTTTTAGCCTCCAGTCTCCTAATCATCTTTGCTGCTCTTCTCTGTACTCTTTCTAGAGTCTCAACACCTGTTTTACATCGTGCTGACCAAAACTGGATGCAGTATTCCAGGTGTGACCTTACCAAGGCATTGTAAAGTGTTATTAACACTTCAAGTAATCTTGATTCTATCCCTCTGTTATTGCAGCCCAGCACTGGGTTGGCTTTTTTGGCAGCTACAGCACACTGCTGGCTCATATTTAAGTAATTGTCCACTAAGACTCCAAGATCCCTCTCACAGTTACTACTATTGAACAAGATACCACCTATACCAGTGGTGGCGAACCTATGGCATGCGCGCTGTCGCCCCAGTCCTAGGCCTTCAGCTGGGTTTTATAAAACGTTTTTGCTTTAGGCTGCCACAGTGTGCAAAAAAAAGATTCAATCAGTCAATTTTAACTTCTCACAGGAAAAAAAAAGATCTTTCAAAGTTGGAATTGATTGATTGAACTTTTTAGTCCCACCCAGTATGCTGTTACCACCGCAGCCACGCCCACCCAATGGGCCACACCCACTTGGCACTTGACAATGCATAAGTGGGTTTTGGGTTGCAGTTTGGGCACTCAGTCTCTAAAAGGTTCGCCATCACTGACCTATACTATACCTGTGCATTTGGTTTTTCTTGCCTAAATGTAGAGCCTTACTTTTTTTCATTTTGTTAGATAGTACCCAATGTTCAAGTCTGTGAAGATCCTTCTGTATCTTAAGCCTGTCTTCTGGAGGGTTAAGCCACATATTTTTCTAGAGTTGGGCAGCCTTAACAATTAGATAAATAGACAGATAATAGAAAGATAGACAAATAGACAGATGCAATAGATAGATGATAGATGATAGATAGATAGATGACAGAAAGATACAGTAGATAAATGATAGATAGATAGATAGATAGATAATAGATAACAAGTATATCATTCTGCTTTTTATTAATTCAAAGCACCAAATATCTAATTTCTCTCATACCTTCATTTTATGTTTCTATAAATCAGTGATACAGGATAGGCTGAGAAAGTGAGAAGCTGATCCATTGTTATGCCTTGGCATTTAGATTTCAGATCTAAGTTATCTTAGCACACTAATCACTATTCCATAGTGCATCTCTGAAATGTAATTTCTTAAATCTGTTCTTCCACTAGTGTGTCAGGAACTTATCTAGATATAATCAGATCGCAGACAATCAGAGTAATGTATCATTGTCCTAAATCCATTCTCAAAAACTGCTAATTTTGAAACCTCTGCATTAGAGGCCATGAGTGTCTTCCTCCACAAGCGTACAGCAACTTGCAGGATATGGACCACATAGTTTTGTAGTGTATATGCACAGGCTGATATAGAGAAATTGCCTTCAGTGTATGAAGATTGAATTAACACTATTTGAGAAATTCCAGAGATTTGAACAAGCAATGCTGTGCAGTACTGCACATTAAGCAATTGCTGGGTTCTTTTACAATGGAAAAATCCATGTTTCCTTATTTGTGTACCAGAGGAATCCATTGTCAAAGTAACGGAACCTCCCCAATGCATAATCAGTCTAGCCATCTCTTGGCTTTAGAGAAGATCAAGTTGCTACTTTTGTTCATGAATTTTTTTAACCTCTTGTTTTTCGAGAAAAAAAAGTTACAGGGCATTCTTTCTTTTTCTTCTTCCAGAGACAAAAGCTATGTGAGATATGGAAGTGACAATCACCTCACCCCAAAGACTGCACGAGGTATGATAATACAAGAGCAGCTAGCTTCAAGCTAGGATTAAGAAATTAAAGCTGTGTTCAAATCAAGGCACGCGTGCCAGAGGTGGCACTCGGAGCCCTTTCTGTGGGCACGTGTGCTGTCGCCCCAGCCCTGCTTCCTCCCCAGCCCCCCTGGAGGAGAGTCACACCCGGATGCAGCCCGGATGGATCGACACAGCCAAGGACATAGCCGGGCAGCAGGGACAAGACTCTGCCCTCGCGCCCCATAGCATGCAGATGAGATGGTGCGTGATCTCAATGATCACACTAAGTAGTTTCATATACTAGAATACAGAACATAGAATAATAGAGTTGGAAGGGACCTTGGAGGTAATAATAATAATAGTAATAGTAGTAGTAGTAGTAGTAGTAGTAGTAGTAATAATAATAATAATAATAATAATAATAATAATAATAATAATATCATTTGCCTGTAAGCAAAAACTGGTGGGATCATAAAATAGAGAAAGTCATAGAAAATGATAAAATTAAACTGCTCTGGGACTTCAGAATTCAAACAGACAAGCACCTGCAACATAACACCCCAGACTTAACAATTGTCGATAAGAAAGACAAAAAAGTCTGGATAGTGGACGTGGCAGTGCCTGGAGATAGCAGAATAGAAGAGAAAGAACTGGAGAAGATAACAAAATACAAAGACCTACAAATAGAAATAGAAAGACTGTGGCAAAAGCAAGCAAGGGTAGTACCAATAGTCATAGGCTCCTTGGGTGCAATCCCAAAACTACTGGAGCACCACTTGAACACAATTGGCATTGACAAATTCGCTATTAGTCAATTGCAAAAGGCGGCCTTACTAGGAACTGCTTCCATCCTGCGACGATATCTGTAATACCATCAAACATCCACATCTGCCTATCCCAGGTCCTGGGTAAGGACTCGATAGGTAGACAAAATGCCAAATCCAGTCTGAACATCTGGCTGACTGTGCGATGATCAATAATAATAATAATAATAAAGTTGGAAGGGACCCTGGAGGTCATCGAATACAACCCCCTGCTCAGGCAGGAAAACCTACACCATTTCAGACAAATGGCGTCTAGTCTCTTCTTAAAAACTTCCAGTGTTGAGCATTCATGCTTCTGGAGGCAGGTTGTTCCACTGGTTAATTGTTCTAACTGTCAGGAAGTTTCTCCTTAGTTTTAGGTTGCTTCTCTCCTTGATTAGTTTCCATCCGTTGCTTCTTGTCCTGCCTTCAGGCACTTTGGAGAATAGCTTGACTGCCTCTTTTTTTGTGGCAGCCCCTGAGATCTTGGAATACTGCCATCATGTCCCCACTCGTCCTTCTCTTTGTTAAACTAGACATACCCAATTCCAACAACCGTTCCTTAAATGTTTTTGCCTCCAGTCCCCTAATCATCTTTGTTGCTCTTCTCTGCACTCTTTCTAGAGTCTCAGCATCTTTTTTACATTGTGGTGACCAAGCACTGTGTTGGTTTTTTTGGCAGCTACAGCACACTGCTGGCTCATATTTAAGTGATTGTCCACTAAGACTCTGATAATCCCTTTGACAGTTACTACTATTGAGCAAGGTACCACCTATACTATACTTGTACATTTGGTTTTCTTGCCTAAATGTAGAACCTTACTTTTTTCACCATTGAATTTCATTTTGTTAGCTAGCGCCCAGTGTTCAAGTCTGTCCAGATCCTCCTGTATCTTAAGCCTATCTTCTGGAGTGTTGGCTATTCCTGCCAGCTTGGTGTCATCTGCAAATTTGTTGAGTTCCCCATCTATCCCCTCATCCAAATCGTTGATGAAGATGTTGAAGAGCACTGGGCCTAGAACAGAGCCCTGGGGCACCCCACTACACACTTCCCTCCATGTAGATGCAGTTCCATTGAGGACCTCATGTTGAGTACGGCTGGTCAGCCAGCTATGAATCCATCTGGTGATGATGCTGTTTAACCCAAATTTTTCTATCTTATCAAGTAGTAGGTTGTGATCTACTTTATCAAATGCCTTACTGAAGTCCAAATAAAGTATATGGACTTCAGTAAGAAATTAGTGGACTCTGGTCCACTAATTTCCACATAAAGGAAAACTTATATCTTACATATAGAAAAACATGTGAATAGGAAAGACAAAATGCCCATTGTTTTAGCTCTACATGAAGAGGCATCTGTTTCAGGATAAATAAGGAAGTTTCCTGTAACTCTAAGATAAGGAAACTTCTATTTTAGCAGAATATGAAAAGAAGGAAGGATTGCACAGGAAGAAGAATTTATGATGATAGAGCAATTGCAACTTTTGATTGAATAAACATATTTCTTTTGACTCTCCACTGATCGTGTGGTGATTTTTATTACATTTTCATCTTGGAAATGAATAGAGAAAAAATAAGGGTTTGATCCTTCTGACAATGAGATGAAATCTTTTAAAGATATCTCTGTACAAGAGCCTTAGTATTATGCCAAGTCTCACAGAACAGCATTCTCGCTTTGTTGCACAATACAATACAAACAGTTGCAGGTTTGTTCCTCTTGCTCAGACTTATCCACTGTTATAACCACAAAGTGTAACTTTACACATATAATTGATTGCCCTTCAGAAAGTTTCTCTAATGCAGTCTTCTTATGCAAATGTTGCAACTTCCAATGTCAAAAAAAGGTGGTGGCATTAGGTTTACATATTTGCTCTTCCCTTGGCCTTTCAAAACACTTTGATTTAGCAACAGCAAATTTACTGATGTTATTTGAGCTTCAGATTCCTTTACATGAAGAGTATACATGGAATATTCCATACACCGTAGAGGGTACTTAGAATGCTTAAGATACAGCAGGCATGCTAGGTATCTGAGAAGAGAGCTTAAATTCAACCTTCTTTTGCTTATGAATTGCTTAGAGCTAAATTCAGGAGTGGCGTTTAGTGTGTCAAGAGTGCTGCTAGGTTGGCCATACAAAAAGAAAAGGCAGACAGCAGATGAAGACTGAAAGTTTCTCTGGGAATTAAAATAAAGAAAGCAGAAGAACTACTGCTATTATTTACAGCGTCTTTCTCCTTGTAACAATGACCACCATAAAATCTGAAACAGGGTGTCACATATTTGATGTGATGGAATATCTTGTTCACGAGATGGCCTAAAACGAGATGAATTGAGATGAGTTGTCTTCCCTAGCCTAATTGGAAGATGAGGTACGTGAGTATCATAGTTTGCAGAATAGCATGGCTATTTTTCTTCTGCACTTCTGGAAGTTTGGAAAGACTTCTGTGAAAAAAAAACAAAAATAGTCTATATCGACTTGTTCTTTTCATCTGTTGTTCAGAAATTGTTGATGTCTTGAATTGGTGCTGGAGCTGGTAAAACTTGGAATACTAGGTTATGCTTTAATTCAGTTAAGATGGAGGAGATTCCTGTTGGAAGGAGAAAGAATTCTGAATTTGGGACTGAACATATTTTAGGTAAGGATCAGGCCACAGCTTGCCTAGGGGTAGCTAAGTCCAGATTAAATTGGTATATTTGCTATGCCCATTTTTGAAAGAAATAGCCTTGACTATGGAAACACATATTATTATATACCTGCTGAATATAATGCTCTCCATTTGGGGCTGTCTTAAAAGTACTTTTGGAAATTTCATCTGTTCAGAATGTTGTAGCAGAATTTTAGTATATGCTTGGTTATGGGATGATGCTACATTTATCTAAAGTGCTTTCACTGATTGTCAGTTTATTTCCCAGAACTTTCAATATATTCATGATAACTTTCAGAGCTCTAAATGGCTTGTGTTCAGGATATATGATCAGTTGCCCCATTCCATGGTTGCTCATCAAGACCAAGTGGGAAGGCTTTTACTTGTGTTTCTTTCTATAATACCTTTCTCTGTTGTAGAGACATCTAGTCATTCATCTCCTTTTGAAGGAGCTTCTGCACCTCCTTATGAACTGATAAAAAATGGATCGACAGATGAAAAACAAAGTTCAGGAAAGAATGGTAGGTAAATTTTTTGACACACACTTGACTCATCCCCTAAATCAACTCTACTATCCTTTCTTTTTTTTCTTTTTCTACTACTACTACTACTACTACTACTACTACTACTACTACTACTACTAAATAACAATAAGAACCCATCAAATTTGCAGATGACACCAAGCTGGTAGGAATAGTCAACACTCCAGAAGATAGGCTTAAGATTCAAATTGAACATTGGACACTATCTAACAAAATGAAATTCAATGGTGAAAAAAATAAGGTGCTACATTTAGGCAAGAAAAACCAAATGCACAGGTACAGTATAGGTGGTACCTTGCTCCATAGTAGTAACTGTGAGAGGGATCTTGGAGTCCTAGTGGACAATCACTTAAATATGAGCCAGCAGTATGCTGCAGCTGCCCAAAAAGCCAATACGTGCTAGGCTGCATTAACAGACGGATAGAATCAAGATCGCATGAAGTATTAATACCACTTTACAGCACCTTGGTAAGGCCACACTTGGAATATTGCATCCAGTTTTGCTCACCACGATGGAAAAAAGATGTTGACTGTTTCCATAGTCAAGGCTATTTCTTTCAAAAATGTACAGAGAAGAGCAACAAAGATGATAAGAGGACTGGAGGCTAAAACATATAAAGAATGGTTGCTTGGGTATGTCTAGTTTAATGAAGAGAAGGACTAGGGGTGACATGATAGCAGTGTTCCAATATCTCAGGGGTTGCCACAAAGAAGAGGGAGTCAAGGTATTTTCCAAAGCACCTGAAGGCAGGACAAGAAGCAACGGATGGAAACTAATCAAAGAGAGAAGCAACCTAGAAGACTAATATGACTTTTATTGAAATTCTCTATAACAACAGAATCTTGCAAATCCAATTGTGCTCTACCTTTTCCTCGTCATATCTGTGAATTAAGGAGGCTTCAGCCAGTGCAACCAATATCTTCTGGACTTAAAATATGTTTCAGCACCATTTTGCATGGATAATTATTCCTGCATATCTCTATCATGGTTAGCTTCCCTGCTGTCTACAATTCTAGAATTGTCAGTCAGCATACCATTGGTTAAACACAATGAACTGTATTTGCAAGATTCAATTCCTGAACAGTATGCAGAGGCTTAAACCACTTATATTATCTTGGAATGGATGTAAAAGAAAAAAAATCCTGTGTTATTTATTATTTTGTCCTCTTGCATTGCAGGAAGCAAATCTTTGTGTGATTTACTTGATCAACAGCCTCAACATCTAAATGATTCAAAGTATGATATTATCTGACTAACTCTGTTTTACTGATTTACTCAAATAGACAGGATGACTAACCTTAGTAGTATGATAAAAACTCTGGATAAAATCTTGAACTTATTCCTACACATGAATCATCTTCACATGTAGAGGCCAAGATATAATGTTTATATTTGGTTTTCCCTAGCCAAACAGAATATTCATTTTAAACTCCCATAGTTAATCCTTTTAATTTTATTTAAAAAAAACTTCAGGACTTAATTTTAATTCTCAAGCTAATATTATTAACTAGCTGGAGTTCTGTCCCTTACAATACTTTTTTGTAAGTCCCTTACAAATGAGGATATTTTTATACATGTTAAGCAAAGCTTATGTATAAAGAATTGTCTTTTGAGTAATAGAATACATGAAATCTATTGGACATTCCTTTAAACTCTGTTTTCATTAAAGCACCTGTAATTTTGTTGCTTTGAAAGAAAAATAAGTACTGTAAGGAGAATTCAAGAGCCTCCACAACTGGGGCACCTATACAAGAGACTGAATGAAGAGGATTTGTTAAGACAAATATTATTCCCCTTATTATTCTGAAGAAACAATGGTATCCTTTCCTGTACAAGAGGGCAAAAGTCTTGTTTCTGAAACCAAGGCATAAGAGTTGAGGAGTCTGGTCTCAATAAAGAAGAATATTTGTAGCTCAGGTTGAAATGAACAATCTTTGGTGCTCTCTGAGCTTGATTGTTTTCTTTCAGATATTTCATTACCCAAACTAGGTAACATCATCAGTGCTAAGCATTACCTAATCTGAGTAATGAAAACAATTGGAAGAAAGCCACCAAGCTCAGAGAGCACCAAGGACCCCTCACTATCTAATCTATTTTACTTAGTTTAGATGGAAGCACTCTAAGCAGGCATCCTAAAATTATTTTACTGAACAGTAGATTAGTGTGGATTATAGGAATTACTTTTTCAGATACTATGATCCCAGCTGCTGACTACTCATACCAGCAGATAGAGTAAACCCAATTGTTCTTTCAAAACAATTCCATCCAGTTCACAGATTGACCTATGATTCCCTAGGAGAAGGAAATAAATTGGTGGAAATAGAAATGTTTGAAGAATAGTAGTTATGGCTTCATTACATACAATAATTTTGAGGCCTCAGAACATCCGGATATAAAGTTTTCTAATAATTATTTCAACCCCAAATGAAGTAGTATATTGTCTATTTTTTTTCCTCAGCACTCTCCTCACCTCTGAACAAGAGATTAAAGATGCATTTCTCCAGTACACAGCAACAAAGTTTTGCTATAGGACTGCCCCTGCAAAGCATTTAAAAGTCCAGATGCTAACTCCTCTCAACACATACAGAGTATGTACCATAGTTGTATCTAGGGAATGACATTTTTTTGAGGACTGAACTGTAGGAAGTCTGGCCTGAGCTTCAGCAAAATGACTCTTAGACTGTCTCCGTTCAAGGTGCTAAATATCTAGGTTTCCTAACTTCACTCCTTGTTATACTTTCAACTTTGCCATTTAGCATTTATGAAATATTACTCAAAACTACATGAAAATATCTGGTCACATCCTGGAAGGACCATCTGAACTCAAATGCATATTTTCATGTAATTGTTTGGCTACAGTGCAAAGCCAAAGAAAGATGCAGTTTCTTTAAGGAGGCTCCAAGAAGTGCGGTACCATTGGGCTTTGGATTCAATATGTACACATTCCTGTAATCAAGTCAATGAACTTGTCATGCTATCCTCTAGATTAGGGGTGTCCCACCTTGGCAACTTTAAGACTTGTGGAGTTCAACTCCCAGAATTCCCCAGCCAGTCATTGAATTCTGGGAGTTGTAGTCCACAATTTTAAAATTGCCAAGGTTGAACACCCCTGCTCTACATTATGTATTTCTTGAAAGTCTCATCCAAGGGCATCTATTGGTATGTGTAGATAATGCGATTTAAAAATCCAAAATAAATATCTGTAAACAAGTTTGACCTCAAACTTCTAACAACTTAACTGTATGCGGGCAGTTATTTCATGATGAATGAAAGTAGTTTACACTCATTGGAATAATTAAAAATAAAGTAGTAATTGCTTCATTTCAAAGCGTTAGGTCTGGGTTTTAGAATTTCTCAAGACAAAGTACAGAGCCAGATTCTGCTAATTGTTGGCTGAGATTTCCACATCAGAAGCCAGTCTGCTTTCCAAGGATGGCCACTTCTGTTCAAAGAATTAAGACTTCAGTTTCAGGTTAATGGATTATTTGCTGTTTTCTGTTCTCAGTATCGGTTAGAGACTTTCACTGAAAGTAGAGACACACACTTGGCAAGTGAATGCTATTATGGTGAGTAACTCTGGGGAATGAGGGAAAATTTCCAGAATGATTCCTTTGCAAGGACTACTAATCCAAGTAGTGATACTATTGGTTACACTCTAACATTAACATTTAATGGAATCATGGCAAAGTACTTGTAGTCCTCAATTTACAATCATTTGTTTAGTGACCAATCAAAGTCACAATGGAATTGAAAAAAGTGACTTATGATTGTTTTTCACATGGCTGTTGCAACATCTCTGTGGTCACATGATCAAATTTCGGATTCTTGTCAACTGGCATATATTTAAGATGGTTGTGGTATCCTGGAGTCATGTGATAACTTTTTGCAACCTTCTGACAAGAAAGGTTAATGGGGAAGCTAGATTCACTTAACAACCGTATTACTAATTTAACAATAGCAGTGATTCGCTTAACAACTTTGGCCAGGAAGGTCATAAAATGGAGCAAAATTCACTCAACAATTGTCTCGCTTAGCAACAGAAATTTTGGACTCAATTGTGGTTGTAAATCAAGGACTACTTGTAGTAGATGGGCTCAAAACATTCTCTCTCTGTGTATGTGTGTATATGCATGCGCACACATGTAAAAAGAATTAATATAATGTTTTCTTTCATCATACTAAAAAATAATTTTTAGGAAGGGCTTCTGGCATCAAACCAAGGCTTTAGGAGAATCTGTTGACACAGGCTGAGTTAAAGGCTTGGATTGGGATTAGAAAAAGCCTGTTTTAGCTGTCAACATCACTGGGTGATTTTCTTTCCTCATGCAACTTAATTGAAGAATTGACGGTCTTAAGGATGAAAAATAGAAAAACAAAACTGCAATTTAGGAAAGCTGCCACAATTTTAGGCATTCTCTAACTGAGGAAGCAATACGATTTTACTTTCATTTCCATCAGCCTGGGGTTGGGGTGAAGGTTAATCTGGTCTTCGGTGGTTGGGTGTTCCAAAGGGCAACTACCATGACAGAAAAAACTCTGCTTCCTGGGTCCTATTAGATAGCTTTTTTTAATTAACGGGATCTGCTGTTTGATTTCATGAGGTGGGTAGAGAAAATTGGAAAGACATCATATCCCCAAATATCCTGAGGTTGTTGAAGGGATCCTGGGAAAATTGATTTTATTTATTTTTATATATCATATTTAGAGATTGCTTATCTCCCTCATAGAATGACTGTGGGCAGTGTCTTTTTTAACTGTGTTTTTAAAAATCACTACAGTACTTATACATGGCATATTATTCAATGTTTTTTTTTAAATCTGTACTGCTTAATGGAACACCGTTAAAGCAGTATAGTTGTAGCTACGTGTTTGTCTACTTTGAGGCCAAAATACATAAAGGAATGCAATTCATAATCATGCTGTTTTGTCATTTAGTTTCATGATTGACTGAGGAGGGTCTGTTTGTTTGTCTTCTAGGTGGATTTGTGGACTCAGCTGATGTTGCACCTCCACCCACACCCTGGGAAATCCTGGTGGATCCACCTCCCTTGTTTACAGACTGTGAAATGCATATCCCAGTGCCCCACTCATATTCCCTGGGGGTAAAACAAATATTTCTTCCTCTTCTTAGAATTACAGTTGTATGCTGCTTTTCTAAAGTGTGTTCAATAAGTCAACCAAGACAGCTTTGTGAATACATGGTCCACCAGAACAGTGCTTTTTTCCAAACATGGCAACTTAAAGATGTGTGGACTTCAACTCCCAGAATTCTCCAGCCAGCATGCCAAGTTTGAAAAAAAACTGCATTTGGTGAACAACTTCTAAAGGGCTCCTACAAACAGCTCTAGAAAATATATTTCTTGGGCTATTTGTTCATGGCAAGTTATTGTTTAACTGATTACTCACACTTTTAAAGTAGTCTTAGAAATGTTCAATATTTTGAATACTGTTGCAATCTTCTAAGTAATTACTACTAGAATATAAAATTACTATTGAAATGGTTTTGTTGGCAGTGTGTTAAAGAAAGTAGACAAGAATAAGAATTTTAAAGCTTATCAGATAATTGGGTAGATTAGAAATACAATAAGAAATAGATTACAATAAAATGCTACCCAAATGTGCATTATCAGGTCACAATGAGCTTAAGTTGATTCATTATGTAAGCAATACATGAGGAAAATGGAATCCAAAATACATATTTGAATTCAGGACATATATTTCAGACTATTCTACAAAGTAAAAAGTAAACAGAATTGGTTTTCCAGTCAGTCTAGAAGCCTCTGAGAAAGGCATGGTGGGTGGATGGAGGTACAAAAATATGTTACAGGCCATTAATGGATCTTGTTATAGGAAGTGAAATCAAATTATGTTTCCCTGACTCATCCTTATAAACTTGATTATTTGATTTTTTTAAACATGGTTACTTTTAAGTTCTGTGAAATGACTTACCATCTCTAATGTGGCATTTCATGTTCCGCTCTCTGATCATTGTAGCAAAAATAATTTTTACTGTTTGAAACCATAAGATAGTATTTTAGTATATAAACTTTAAAAATAGTATTTGTATTTGGCAAGGGAAACTTCAGGTTTACATATATTAAATAATTATAATATATTTATTATTTATATTTTTAGAAGACCTCCAGGGTTCTTCCAACCCTATGATTCTATATAGTCTTTCTTATGCATTTTAGTTAAAAGCAGGAAAATTGTCATAAAAATGGGATTTGATTACATATTGTGACAAAATGCGGGAATGATCTCAGAAGAGAAGAGGAAGAGACACAGGCTAGGCAATAGTCAGATAAGAAGCCGTTGAGCCCAGAGAAGGAATGTGGGTGTGGCAAATGTCTCAGAAGGAACCCTCCCTAGTTTCTTGGACAGTAACGGTGACAAAGAAAAAAAAGTACTTTCAGACTTGCAAGATTCTGTTAATGTAACCTTACAATAAAGACAGAGATGATATTCCTTGCTGTACTTTTTGTCTGACTATCTCATGAGTCTGACACCCTCCTCCTCTCTCTCAAGGTCATTCCCACATTGTTGTTGTTAGTTACGAAGTTGTGTCCGACCTATTACGACCCCATGGACAATGTTCCTCCAGGCCTTCCTGTCCTCTACCATCTTCTGGAGTCCATTTAAGCTCATGCCTACTGCTTCAGTGACTCCATCCAGCCACCTCATTCTCTGTCATCCCTTTCTTCTATTGGCCTCAATCTTTCCCAGCATTAGGCTCTTCTCCAGTGAGTCCTTCCTTCCTTTCTTCTCATTAGGTGGCCAAAGAACTTGAGTTTCAACTTCAGGATCTGGCCTTCTAAAGAGCAGTCAGGGTTGATCTCCTCTAGGACTGACTGGTTTGATCACCTTGCAGTCCAGGGGACTTGCGGGAGTCTTCTCCAGCACCATAGTTCAAAGGCCTCCCACATACCACTACACATATATAAAAAATTCTGTTTATACATGTATGGGGAGCATGGTGGCTCAGTAAAATGCTGGGTTGACAAGTAGCAAGCCTGTATTCGAGACCTGAATGCTGCTATGGGATGGGGTGAGCTCTCATCCTTCATTCCAGCTCCTGCCGGGGACATGAAAGGAGCCCCTGCCTGGGCATACACCTGGGCAATGGTGATGTCACCAGCTAATCTTGTCAACCTGGAAACACCTCAGTGCTTCCGACATTAATGCAATGCAATATGTTAAGTTCAGCTTTTACTTTGTAACCTTTTGGGGGGAGGTAACGTTCAGACTTGGTTTAATGTCATAGTTCTGATAAATGAGACCAGTAGAAATAAGAACCCTGAAGCAATTGCTTTCCTCAAAGAACACTTTTAATGGCTACATAATATCAGCATGAACATAATAATAATAGTAGTAGTAGTAGTAGTAGTAGTAGTAAAGTTGGAAGGGACCTTGGAGGTCATCTAGTCCAAACCCCTGCTCAGGCAGGAAACCCTACACATAGGTGAAACAAAGACTGAAAGTTACCCCCCCAAAAGGTTACAAAGTAAAAGTTGAACTCCTCACCCCTTGGTGTGTCATAAATCACAATCCACAATTAACACCTTTGGTGGGCTTCCTAATGATAGCTCCCGCCCACCAAACATTAAAGCTGCTTGACCTTGGTTCCCACAAGAAAGTTATTGTTTTGACTAAACTATAAGAATGCATCTCCCTCCTCCCATTGCTGTGGCAACGGAAAAGAAACATGGCTGAATTCAGAGCATTTGAAGGTTTGACAGCAATATACATGGATAATTTGTTTCTATGTGAGCTTGAAGCAAAAATAGGACTTATATAAGATACTAATTTTAAAGATAAGTTAAACCTTTTAAAGATAAGTTGTTATAGCTACTTAAATCCAATTAAAAGTAAATCCAAGTAAATTCCAACTAAAGTACAATAAGTGACTACAGGGTTCTAAATGCTGTATTTTGAACTCTTGTACAAACTGTGAAATTAGAAAAAAAAAATTAAACATGTTTCCATATGAACCATATAACATTTCATTGCTTTTAATAGCCTTGAGGGAATTCAATTAGTATGTAGTCTGGGATTTTAAGTAGAAATTATGATTTTTCAATAGGAAAATTCATACTCAGTTCAAGGGGCAATTGCTTTCTGAAACCACTTTGGGAGATTTTTTTATCTTCTTTGGTATAGATATCCACAAGACGCCCATAGAACATTTGATATTTGTGTATTCATAGTTGGAAATATATAGTTGAAGGAAGCGTAAGGCATGATAAAATGGATTAACCATATGGACGTCAAAGAAAAATAATTATGGGCAGGAATCTATTATCCTTTTTCTGAGGACTATTGTTATTTTAAGAAAAAAATAATAAAATTAAGGCTTGGGCACAGCAATTCTCCAGTGAAGTAGGGCTATCCTTTCTAATGGTTTGCTTATGCGTCCTTTGCTTTATTTTCAGAATTGTCGAAACTGCAATGGCCGTGGTGCAATTACATGCCAATCATGTCAAGGGAAGGGCACGGTAAGTCAGTACAAGAAACATTACAATATTCCTAACAGATGTCAGTGCTTCCTTCTGGGCAGAAATTAGGAGAAGAAGAACTGAATGAGAAAGACCACCCCAAATCTGGGAAAATAGATGATACAAATAAAAGTTTGATGGCTTTTATTGTAAACCACCCAAAATAACATGGAACTTAGCCATACATTTAAATTGTCCTGCACTTTTCAAATATAGAAAAAGTGTCCATCTTGTAATGGGAGTGGGTTCAATTCATCTGAATACACTCATAATTGTGCTCAATATTTCCACTGCTAAGCAAGACATTTGTTAAGTGAGTTTTGCCGCATTTTATGATGTTCTTTGCCACAGTTGTTGAGTGAATCCAGTGCTTTTTTTTTGTAAAAAAAAAAAAAAAAGGTGCCGGAACTCACACACATCATACAACCCGCCTTGCCTACCCTACAAAGTTCCATCCCAAAAAGGTGCCGGAACTCCGTTCTGGGCGTTCTATGACAAAAAAAGACCTGAGTGAATCACTGCAGTTGTTAAGCTAGTAACACAGCTATTAAGTGAATCTGGCTTCCCCATTGACTTTGCTTGTCAGAAGGTCACAAAAGGGGATCACGATGACCCCGGGACTCTGCAAATGTCAAAAACACATGCCAGTTGCCAAGCATCCAAATTTTGTTCATGGGGATGTGCAGTGGTCGTATGTGTGAAAAATAGTCATGTTACATTTTTCAGTTCTGTTGTAACTTTGAATGGTCACTAAACACATGATTGTAAGTCAAAGACTACCTGTAAACTAGGCAATTTGACCCAGTTTGGATGGCTGTGTTTCAGCTTCAAAATGCAGCTATAAGAGACCTGGTCTTTCATTCACGAAAGGGAGGAGAAAACTGTAGTATGTGTTTTGGACTCATAAGAAATAAAAACTTTTAGTTAATTTGCAAATTTGGCTATTAGCTTCAGATCAAATGCAAATCATGAAGGATTTTAAAGGTGACTGTGTAACGAAACCAGACCGACAGTAACCTTACAGCATTTTCTTGGGAAAAAAATAAAGGACTAATCTGAAATATGGGCAAATCTGAAAGAAGTGCTAAGGATAAAAAAACAACAACACTTAATTGTTTGTGGCTATTTTTGGTTTACAATGGACAATTCAAGAGCAAAATCAAGAAAAACTTTAGGGAAACATATATTCTAATAAAAATGTCTACGATCAAACAGAATGTGTAAATTTATTGTAAAAAGACAATACAACTTTCATATTTTTCATATAAATTTGAAAGACTGTCCTAATGGCACTCTTTGTATGGTGAATGTTAAATCAGAGGTCCCCAACCTTTTGGGTATAAGGGACCAGTTCCGTGGATAGAAGTTTTCCTGTGGGCTGGAGGGTGCATGGTTTTGTGTTCTGCCAGCATCCTGCGGATGGGGTTTTGCGTGTTTGTGCAGACTGGTTGCTGGCATGCTGCGGCCCGGTACTGGTCCAAAGACCGGGTGTTGGGGACCCCTGTGTTAAATAACCCAAAATAAAGAAAAAAGAGACTTTGTGAAAAATAAATCTAAAGGACAGCTTCCTGAAATAAGGGACTGTCCTTTATAATAAAGGATGTATCATAAGCCATTTGAAAACCAGCTTATTTCTCAAAGCAGAGCATTGCTCCCTGTTGAACTGAGGAGTTGGCTTCTTGGCTACCTTTCTGAGAGGCCCTCCCAACATACTCATTTCAAAACATGTTTTCTTTGGGATATTTTTGATGCTGGTTTGAATGTCACTCGTCTTAACTCAGGTTTGATGGCTTTTATTGTAAACCACCAAAATAACATGGGATTTAGCTGCTTGTTGTTGTTGTTATTGTTCTTAAAAAAATACATTTAAATTGTTCTACATTTTTTCAAATATAGAAAAAGTGTTCAGCTTGTAATGGGAGTGGGTTCAATTCAGATGAATTCATTTCCTGCTCATGGTGTTCAGGTTCAGGAAACAAGCGGTAAGTGTTGCTTCAATCCAAACTTCATTTTTATTCTTATAATAGTTTTTACTATAACCTTTTATTGGGTTGTTATACCTCATCTAAGTCTTTCAGAAAAGTTAAATTTGTGTGTGTGTGTGTAGATCTAGATCTAGATGATAGATCTAGATAGAGGTAGAGGTAGAGGTATAAAGATAAAGAGATAGAGATATATAGATATATAGAGAAGAAACAAAAGTATACAATATCATCAAGAGAGTAAATGGAAATGGGCTGGTCACCTAGCAAGAAGAACTGATGGTAGGTGGACCAAGGCAGTCATAGAATGGATCCCATTTGATAAAAAACATCCACGAAAGAGACCTAAACAAGAGGGATTGATGATGTCAGCAAGTATTGCGGATTCAATTGGCAAAAGAAAGCTCAGGACCATTATTGGTTGGAAACATGCGGAAGAGGCCTTCATCCTGCAGTGAATAGACAATGGCTAAAATGATGATGATGAAACATAGATATATATGATCTACATTATTTAACATTCAGGATTTTTCCTCATTCATTTTTTCCCATGAAAATAGATCACTTGCAGTAATATCCCTACAGCGAAATCAGTGGACTGATTTCATGTTCAATCATGTCTAATTTGCAGAGACTGCCTGGGCAAATCCCTTCATGGCTTTCGGCATGGTTTTTGAGAAGTGGCTTGCCATTGCTTCTTTCCTAGGATAGGTCCTCATCTGTCACAAGCAGATCATACAGCCTTTGTACCTTTGCTGTTGTTACAAATAAGGAAGACTATCACTTTGGTCTGGGAAAATGGAATGATTGTATCGTATCCTAGTGAAAATGATTCCTAGGACAGCTAACTTTGATCCAGGGAATTTGCTGAACCAATATGGCAGCTGCATGAGAAAGTAGACAGCAGCAGTTGAAATCAATCCATCTGTAGGCCACTTTTTTTAAAAAGGCTGATTTAAATGCCACAGATGGAAAAAGTCTTAAATTTAGCAGGAAATATTTGTTTCTGATCCAGAAGTATAGATAATACAGAATTTTACAAACAGGATTGGCCATTGTATGAACCCAGTATGTGTGCCCTATTTATTAGGCTCTTTGGTAGCTATCTAAAATAGAAAGTGAATCTTTCTTAGCATAATTATTAAATAATTATTTTTTATAAGATGATTGAAAAGAAAGTGATAGGGTTACAAGAATTTAAATAACTGAATTAAATGTCATTTACAACCCATAAGTGCTGATTAAAGATTTTGATTTTCTCTCTAATAGAAAATAAGGTGAGTCTTTATATTGACAACAAAAAGGTATAATGTTCATAGTTTTGTTATTAATGCTAATCTTTAGTTATTTCTTATGTTTTGCAGTACTTTAAAGTTATCTTCTATATCTATCAGTATTTACCACACTTTATATTTTATATTGCATATATTGCATGTATATTGCATATATTCTAGACTACTATATGAGTGAAATAAAATTATGGTGATGATGTTGATGATGATGATATTTAATTTAATTTAAGAGGAAAACTTACAATATCATAGAATCTAATTTGAACATTGATCTCTCTTTCACAGTTGCTCCAGTTGCCATGGCAATGGGCGGCATATGTGTTACCGTTGCGATTGCAAAGGAATATTGCTATATCATACTGAACTTTCAATCACATGGTAAGATATAAAGCAAAGAAATGAATGTTGTAAGTCTCTTTGTTCATCTGTATGTGTAAGAAGACCTGTAAGGGCTATAGGTCTCTTTTTTGTCCCAGTAATATATTCCCCAATATGACCACCACCATCATAGATACTGGGGTGCATAAGATTTTGAATTACACATATTTTGCCAGAGTGGAAAAGCAAAACTATCTCACAAACTCATACATATATACTTTCTCCTTTAATCTAAGTTATATTTCTTTTTAAATAGTTAAGGATAACAATAACAGGCTTCTGATCTCTGGGCTAAATGGAAGACATGATAAATGTCTTCCAATAACTAAGGGGCTGTTACAGAGAAGAGGGGACTTACTTATTTTCTAAAGCAACTGAGGGCAGACAAGAAGTAATAAGGAAGTTTGTTATTGAGAGATCCAACCTAGAAATAAGAAGCCATTTTCTGAACAATTAATCAGAGGAATAGTTTGTCTGCAGAAATTGTAAGTGCTCCATCACTGGAGGTTTTCAAAAGCAGACTGGACAGCCATGTGACAGGGATGATATAAGGTTTCCTGCCTTGAGCAGAGATTGGACCTTTGAGGTCCCTTCTAGCCCTATGATTCTATGTTCTAATAAACCATTTTGTTTATTTACTACAGAGTACTTTGCACATGTAATTTGCTATTAGGAAAGACCCCAATTTATAGCATTCATTTATTTATGACTTCGAGTAAGGCCACTTTAAATCAGATTAAATTTCTGTTTAGTGTTCCTTTTGTAAGAATGGGGAACCTGTCCAGTACTAAGTTAGACTTTGTAGCTTAATTTGATATGCTCTGATATTTTAGCATCCTTCCTTAAATAAGCCTCAGTTGAATTTGGAATACCATCTTTTCTTTATTTATCTGACTTTAAATCATTGGAAGAAAAATTCCTTCCAGAACAAAATATATTCAGGCAGTTAAACAAATGCGTTGTGAAATGGATTCAAAATGCAAGCTGAATGTTTGTTTACTAAACATTATTTACGCAGAAATAATCCCCTTACCCTAATTTTAAATTAATTGAGGTTTACTGCTAGTAATTGAATTAGGGGATTACAGCCCAAGACTGTACTTCTGTTAAACACTTATCTGCAACATGTCTCTGTAAAATCTAGAGATATTTTTGGAAAATATAAATGAGATTAAAGTTGTATCTTATCTTCTAGAGCTTATTAACGTGTATTCAGTCAGTTTCACCTTTAAACTGACATCTTTATAAGTAAATATAACTTTTTACCCCTCATAGGAAGAACAATATTTTAGAACACATAGCAGATGAAAAATCTGAACTTCCAGTTTACCATCTGCAGGAAGTAACTGGAAGAAAAATACTCAGTGATGAGCATAACTTGGTAAGATATATACTGCCACAAATATGTATGCAATGATTACTGGAAGAATATAGAGGTAGTCCTTATTTAGCAACCACAGTTGAGACAGGCATAACAAAGTGATTGTTATGAAAAAACAGATCTGCAAAAATCATAAATGTAAGAATTGGTTACAAAATAATTTTTTCATCACTATAATGTGAAGAAAGTGGTTGTAAAGTGATTTTTTTTTCATTACTGTCATAACTGCAAAGAGTCTCTCCAGGTGCTCATTAAATAGGGCAGTTGCTAAATGAGGATTAGCTGTATTTATAAAAGAATACTGGAAGATAGTGTCAGACCTGCCCCAGTCTATTCTCTCAGGAAAGTAAGACTTGTGACTCCATTTAATTGAAGCAAAGGAACTTTTACTGAAAGAAACTGGTTGCACTAAAGTCAGGCAGAATCTGATATTCCTGTGCAAAAAACCCTATTCTTTTCACTTTTCCCTCCCTCCCCCCCCCATGACCAATCCCCTGGCCAGCCAATATAATACCAGTAAGATGTTTTCAGAAACTCTGAGGTGTTAACTGTTAACATTCCATTCTCAGGGAAACGGCCTTGAAGACTGTAGTACAAGCTGGTTTGGTGATCTGGTCTTCTTCCGCTGTCACTCCCCCCTCCCTATTTCTCATGTTATAACAATAGTGCCCAATAAACCCCCGTCCTCCTTCTCCCTTCCCGCCCTAATGGCAGGGCACCAGCAAGGCACCAGGCCTGTGATAGTGGACCTGATAAATAGAATGTAGACTGTTTTAGAATGCTAGAACAGAGTGCTAGAGTGCTCTTATTGGTCATTCAATCCTTTGTTCAGTTCAGTTCAATCCTTTGTTCAGTTAAAGTACCCCAAAAGAGATCTCTCTAGTCCATTATAGGGTTTTTCCAGACACAACTCTGTCTGAAGTAGACTCCAGTGTTACAGACAGGATTTTTTTCTAGTCCAATTGAAAGATGTTAGAGATTAAATCTGGAAACTTTGGCATGCTTCTGGCCAAAAGCACAGTTTAATTTTGCATGCAATAATTTAGACCAGTCTTTTTCAATCATGACAGATTTAAGATGTGTGGATTTCAACTGCCAGAATTCCCCAGCCAGCATACCTAAAGTTGCCAAGATTAACAAACACTGATTTAGACTACTCATGTCCTCTGTGCAAAAAGATAAGATAACCACAGCTACATTTTCTTAAACTTTTAATGATGAGTGTATGCTTTTTGGTATACAATTCCAAGCATTTACTGGGAGAAAGTTGACAGTTCTATGCAGTCATGCTGTACAGTAGTTCAGTCCAAAGTGCTAAATAATCTAATGCAAAAGAGTATTTTGTGGCCTTTATCTGCATACCAGGTACGTCCCATGATTGATTTCCCAGAATCATCCATTAAAGACTATTCAAGGACAAGCATTGTTCAACACAAAATGATGTTTGCTTCAGATGAGCACCGGATCTTGAAACAAGTGAGTGCCAAAGAGAACAACTGCATTTTAAAAATGAAATTATTTTCACTTTCATTTATTATTTTCATGTTCATTTTATTTAAAAAACTTCTTGACTTACTAAACAGCTCTTTTTCCCACCAAAAAGTTTTGAAAATGTTTATGTGAGGATATTTCAAGTTGATGAAGAATTTAACTTAGATTTATATAAGAATGTATCTTAGATTATTCTCAGTTTGATTATTCTTCCTTTTGCAGGATATTTTGCAATCAAATTATTATTTTTGCATTCACCAAAATGCAATTTTCTCATCCCTTTTGGTTTTTAACTGTTGCAAAGTAATAATAAAGTAAAACCTCACTTTAATGCACCATTAAGAAATAAAGTGTTTTTAACTCCCAAATATCCATATAACTTTATATTATCTGCATCAATTTATGTCAGTTTAGATCACTTGCATAATTATGAACTGTACTTCATTGCATTAAGAAATAAAGTGTTTTTAACTCCCAAATATCCATATAACTTTATATTATCTGCATCAATTTATGTCAGTTTAGATCACTTGCATAATTATGAACTGTACTTATGCAATAACATAAGTTACATAAATAACAACATTTATTTACTTAATATAAGACACATGTAATGGAAAATGATGGGAATAATGCAAGGTAAGTTAACTATTCAGATTACTTCATATACAATTAATTTAGTCTTTATTTCAGGGATGTCTGGATGCAAATTTTGTCCATTGCATCTAAATTCTGGTAACTCTAACCTTAACCCTTTACAAAAAAGGTTTTATTGTGCACCAATAAATAAATCAATACAAATAAAAATCAATAACACATCACCACCAGTCTTTTATTCTATGACAGCATGATGCTTAAGAATTAAACTCACTTTTGAGACAAAAGGCTTCCTCTTAAAAAAACTAAAATGAAAATTTATTTCCATAAGACTTTGAATTGGGGAATTGGGAGACTCCAGCTTTTCCTCATAGCACAGTCTTAGATATTGTAACACAGAAATAATGTTTAGCTCTTTTCCCTGAAGTGTGTAGAACACAGTTTTAATAGTGCTAATTATTTCTTCAATAAAAGAGAATATTTGTAGCTCAGAATTGATATGAGGGGTCCTTGGTGCTCTCTGAGCTTGGTTGTTTTCTAGCAGATGCTTGATTACACAAACTAGGTAACATCATCAGTGCACCATTGATTTTTATTTTAAAATACACCTAAAAGTCACAACCCATAAGTTAGCCTGCATTGTTGTGAAAGTTGTTCTCCTGAAAATATCCCAAAATGTAAATTTTCAAATGTTCTTTGAATTTTGAGTTCACAAATTCTAGTGGCTTTGATCTAAAGATTGTTAAAGAACTAAAATAAGGTATGCTGTTCTTTTTTTATAAATAATATCACATTAATTTCTCAATTGTTTTTATATTGTAGAGACATTTGATGTAAACACATTTCCAATAAATAAATAAATAAATAAAAAATAGACACACTTGTTCCAATTTTTTGGGGGGGTGAAGTTACATGCTGGTGAATCATGTATGGAACAGAAATCTGTTATTCTTTTTTATTTTTGCCTTTATTAAACAATGAGCAGAAAGGAAAGGAGGGGACCAATGAGAATTAAAAAGACAAAAGAAACTAGAGTTTTCCATCAGCCTGTTTTTCTGAGATATACTTCAAGTGATGTATGTTGCAAAGATTACAAACTTACAATGCTTCTAAATTTATAATACTTGCATCCATGAATAGTGAAAGAGCTGCCTGGTCAGGGAACTGATGCAACTGATTTCCATAACATAGAAGTAAAATTGAGGTTGTAGAAATATTCCTCAGGTTTCTCTATTTGGGAATTAGGGTTTGTACTTCTACCTCCCTTCTTTCCACTGCTCTATAAAAGGCCGCCTTGTAATATGGGAATAGAATAGAATAGAATAGAATAGAATAGAATAGAATAGAATAGAATAGAATATCTTTATTGTCATTGTGTAACTCACAACAAAATTACATGCTGTCCTCAGTGCACACTACACACAAGTAAAAACCACAAATAAGAACATACATTATATATATATATATATACACATTTCCTTCACATTCTATTCACTATTACGCTGCCCCTAATATTGCACTTCAATGTTGCACTATACAATAGTATTTAATATGGTTACAGCTCTGGAATAAAAACTATTTTTCACCTATTTGTCTTTGTTTTTATTATCCAGATGGTAATAGTTCAAAAAAAGAATGTCAGGGATGAGATGAGTCTTTAAGAATGTTTTGAGCTTTCCTAAGACAGTGGGAACTGTACAGTTCATCTGGGGGAAGGGAGGAAGGAGAGAGCAGCCAATAATCCTCTGGGTGATGGTAATGACCCTCTGGAGCGATTTCCTATCTGCGACTGTGCAATTGGCAAATAACACACAAATGCAATAGATTAGAACAGTGGTTCTCAACCTGTGGGTCGGGACCCCATTTGGGGTCGAACGACCATTTCACTGGGGTCGCCAAACAACGCAGTCCGCCATTTTTTCTCTTGAATAGAGTCTAATTCTATTGGCTTTCAAAAGCCAATAGGAATTGTCCAGGCTGTCTCTGCCCTGCTGAGCCCGCCAAAAGTCCCATTCTGCAAACGGTGCTGCACCAGTTGAGTAGTCCTCGACTTACGACCGGTTGAGTAGTCCTCGACTTACAACCGGTTGGGGGTCACGGCATTAAAAAGGTTGAGAACCACTGGATTAGAATGTTCTCTATGGAGCAATGGTAGAAGGTCACCAGCAGTTTTTCATTCAGCCTGCATTATTTATTTAAAACATTTATATAACTGCCCATCTTATATCAAACTCTGGGTGGCTCCTAATCAACATTCAAAACAACATCAATAATAAAACAAAATAATGCATATATCTATTAAAAGCATTACTATTGAAAACCTGGCACCAAGCTTCCAGATGAAGAGAAGTGAAGGGTCAAGGCAGGAAGGGGCGTTGCAGAGATACTTTTTGAAAAAAAGTATCAGCAGCTTGAGCCTTTCCATTCTATTTTCCATCTTTAAAAAAAAATAAAAATAAAAAATGGGCTACAAATGGCTTGTTTATGACGATTGGCCTCCTCTTCCCCTTCTGTCAGGTTCCCAAAACAAAGAAAGTCACACTGTGATTCTTCTAAACAGATTTATTTATTATTCCTCACCTACTTTGTCAAACTAAAGCAGACTACTTGTACCATTAAACATATATCCTGGGAACTAATAGGGAGGAGTCACCTTCACCCTCTTTTTCTCACATAAGCTATCTAAACTGTGTTGTCTTTTGCTCCTCTGGAATACACTCCCTTCCTCTGGACAACATTTCATCACACACTCCCATTCTCAATTTTGAATTAAATTTTCAGTAGATCTGGGTTTAGGATGATGGGGAGGCATAAAAATGGTGCTGGGATTAACACAGAGCTTGGAAATCATTAGTTCCCCTCCTCCGGATAGTTTGAAAATATAGTATGCTAAGGGAATAAGATGACCTATACCTTACCTTGTACAGCAGATTCCAATTGTACAGTATTTCCTAAGGAAAAGGAAATATGTGGCGCACAGCACTCATAAATTGGGCTAATACTTTACTGCTTTTTTATTTCAAAGTATTCTAAATAAGCAATGTCCTCTCAAGGTGATGTTCCAAAGAAAACAAGGTGAGCTACAAACAGGTGTCACCTCCACATCTGAATAACATATTGATTCTTTTGAACAAAAATGGTCTGCAAACATAAACTCTTTTGATTTTCTTTTAAGAGGAACATTGAAGAGACTCCCCTTAATGCCTGTACTGAATGGGAAAAGTGTAGGTGCTTGGAAAGGAATTCTGTATCTTTTAGGCCCCTTTTGTGTATCCAACTTAGACAGCCTTAATTGCCAATTTTGTGTCTAGTACCTAAATTGTTGAGTTCACATTCGAAGCGGATGTAAATGATCTCAGAAATATAACTTTTTTTCTGTTTCTTTTTGCAGAGACAAACGGTTGAGCTGGTTCCACTCACAAAAGTTAAATATGAATGGAAAGGCAAACCTTACTCCTTCTATGTCTTTGGCAATGAGAATAAAGTCTACAGCGAAGACTACCCTGCAAAATGCTGCTGCTCTATCTTGTGAAAAAGAACCAGTTTAGTGACAGTCTCCTATTAAAATACATAGCTGTTTTCTGCTTTTAATCTCTACAGCAGGGATAGGAAACCTCGGCTCTTTTATGACTCGTGGAATTCAGCTCCCAGAATTCCTGAGTCAGCCATGCTGACTCGAATTCTGGGAGTTGAAGTCCACAGTCATAAAAGAGCCAAGGTTGCCTACCCCTGCCCATCTCAGGATTCTTTCTTGTGCAGTGACTATGCAAAAAAGGACGTTACTATTTGCTCCATCCAGAGGAATCCGTGCATTGTTTTCTCTGTCCAAAAGAATTTGTGGCTAATTCATTAACCTTATTTATGCAGATGAAAAATGAAGGAAGCTACTTGTTCTAATGCACCTTGAAATAGCGTATTTGCATATTTTGCAACTCAAATATTTAGATACTTTTAGGTCATTTTCTACCCAGAGCATTCACTGCAAGAGTAGCCTGGAGAAGTTGTATGTTCCAATGATGCTGCTCATCAGCACTGTGTGCAGGAGGCAAGCTTTCCCACAAATAGCTGTATAGGTAGGCTTCTACACCAGTCAGCATTGTGGAAATCAATGTACATAGCAATAGCACTTTATAGTGCTTTACAGCCCTCTCTAAGTGGTTTACAGAGTCAGCCTATTGCCCCCAACAATCTGGGTTCTCAGTTTACTGACCTCGGAAGGATGGAAAGCTGAGTCAACCTTGAACAGGTGAGATTCGAACTGACAAACTGCTGGTAGCTGGCAGTCAGCAGAAGTAGCCTGCAGTACTGCATTCTAACCTCTGTGCCAACACATCACCAAATACATACCATCATATGTATTGCATATCTTTAAAAAAAAAATAGGGCAACTGCATAGCATGTTATATTAGCCTTTCCTACTCTGGTGCCTCCAGATATATAGGATTGTACTTCTATACTCTCTAGACTATATGGTCTTTTCTTTCCCCTCTTTCCAAATTGTACCTCATTGTAAATTTAAAATCTGAAGTTGACAATCCTGTATTTTATTAAATGTTCTACTTTTTCAAAGATCTTGACTTGACCTAAAAAGGCTACAGGCTTTGTAAGTTGTGTTGGTAGAATTATTTCCTTACGGCTATGTGTTCAGTGTAAAATCATGTCAAAATATCTTCTCTGTCGTCTTCTAGGTTTAAAGCAAAAGCTGTGATATTTCAGTCACAGTTCTCTAAAACTAAACAAACTATAAATCACGACACACTCTCTATGTCAACACCAATTCAGTGAAGAGCTGTGATTTATATCAGAACATTTATTATACTAAATCTAACATTTGCCACTGTTGATTTGCTCCCATTTATTCCATGAATAAAGATTTTAGCACTGTTTTGATACAGTATGGCATCTCATTTCTTTCTTTTTAAAAATATTATTTTACGGCGCGATAATAGCGTTTTTCCCAAATGTTGCTCCTTTTCAAAAGTAGATAAATAAACGACAATGTTATCAGAAAGTAACAGGCTGCTTTGTTTTGTTCTATTTATGTAGCACTGTTAGAACAAGTTTAAGGATGTGAGCATAATTGCCTAATTGAGTTTTCAAAGGAAAATAAAACTATGATGACGGGTATTAATTCCAGAAAATCATTTGCAGATGGTACCAGTTTAAAAGTAATCTGTGAGTGAGATGGGTCATTTCCAAATTTGATACAGAAATAATTCAATCAAATAAGTTTAAATATCCATTGTAGCATTTAAAGTACTTGGGGAGACCCTGGCTTAAGTCCTCACTTTACCACAAAGCTCACTAGATATCTTTAACTCAATGTTAACATGGTCAGTGGATGTCCCAAAAGTGCTTTTTCAAGAGGCAACTGGACTTCCTTGCTTTTCTTTGAAACTGTTTCGCTTCTCATCCAAGAAGTTTCTTCTTCACCTCCTGGATGACTGAAAATTTCTTCTTCACCATAAGCAGGATGACTGAAAATTTCCATAGACTTTGGTCATTGGATGATGTTGTTGTGGAACTAATGCTCATGTAACTTGTATTCACATATACAGTAAGCTCAAAAAAAAAGAGCAGAAAAAAATAGATCAAGCCACATATTTCATAAGTAACATGGAATCTCTGTATACTAAATGTTTCTATCAGATACATTGCAAAATTTTGGGAAGATGGGGGTGATAGTAACGGATAATATTTGACCAGCTGTTGATTTTTCGCTGCATGTAATATGTACAATTTATATTTTGCAGAGGTTTTGTAATTTCTCCCCTCCAAAACTGGCTGCTGAACAAGTATAACCATTTGTTTAGCAACCATTCAAAGTTACAACGTCATGGGAAAAAAGAGACCTATAACCTTTTTGTCACGTATCCCCACTGTCATGTGTATGATTAATGTTTGCAGCATGCTGGAATCATGTGATCATCACTTGTGATCATCTCTGCTTGCTTCAGACAAGTAAAGTCAACGGGGGAAGCCAGATTCGCTTAACAATCGTGATTTACTTAACTGACGTGATTCACTCAACAACTGTTGTAAAGTTGGATGCAGCTCACTCAACATTTGTCTTGATTAGCAAAATAAATTCTGGCCCCAATATTGGTCAAAGGTCAAGGACTACTTGCATTTAGCAATTATTGCTACTTCTTTTTTCATAGTAAGTACAACATTTTTTAATTAGTTTTATTCATGTATAACATAAAATGTGAAAATGCAAAAGCAAATAGTTGGGGACAACAGTAGAGAAAGGAAAAACAAAAAAGTTGTGAAGAAGAAGAAGGAAGAAACAAAAAGGCATTGACTTCCAATTCTCTCTGTTGCAGTAAAATTGGATATTGAAATCAAATCTCAACTTTTACATTTCTGTAGTAGTAGGCGCTAGCCATTTCTGTATCAGCAAATCAGTCTAATCGGTAAAACCCAAAATCATATCATTTTTTTTCTATCTCAAGCACAAAGTCCAGAAACGGTTTCCAAGTAGAAACAAAGGTACTTATGTTCTTTACTTTTATCAGCACAATCAATTTGGCCATCTCTGTTAATTCCATCAGTTTTTGTAACCATTCGTCCATGGTAGGAATCAAGGCATCCTTCCACTTTTGTGGAAGGGCAATCTTGCTGCCATCACCATATATAAAATCAGAGTTCCAATTTCTTTCCATTAGACCCAGAAGGAAAATTTCTGGTTTAATCTTTATGTTTGCTTTAAAGGTTTTCTGCATTAATATATGAATCCTACTCCAATATTTCTTCACCTTATCACATGTCAACCATAAATGATAAAAAGTCCGCTCTTTTTTGTAGTAAGTAATGAATAATATTTCATGGTATCTATAGGTTTTTTTATGGTATCTGACAGTCATGTATATGTGATGGCAATGTAGGAAATTCAAATATATTATTTCTGTTAAAGCATTTATATCCCTCCTTTCATTTCAAGTTTTTACAATTGTAACAATCTGTTTATTACAATTTCTTACAAGTAACATGGAATAACAATTTGTGACACTTCTCTGACATTTACAAGTAACATTTTTTTCACAGCATTTGACACACAATAATAAAATGTGGATAACTTGATACAGAAGACATAAATAACTGAAGCAGGATTGGAGAAATAAGCTTTTTTAGTCTTTGAAAGAGGCAAATTCATTATAGGAATTTTGTATTTTTTGTTGTTTTTGGAAATATACAATTTCCACTATTAACTAACCAGAATAAAAAAAAAAAACACAGCATCAAACAATGCAAATTTCACTATTAACTGACTAGACTAAGCAAAAATCATGAGGTAAATACAAGTCATGCATAACTATAACTGAGATAAACAAAGGCATTACATCAAACAATACAATTATAAGGTAAACCCTAACCCTAACCCTAATCCTAACCCTAACAATTATATAATAGTAATAATAATAATAATAATAATAATAATAATAATAATAATAATAATAATAATAAAAGTTGGAAGGGACCTTGGAGGTCATCAAGTCCAACCCCTGCTCAGGCAGCTAACCCTATACCATTTCGGACAAATGGCTGTCCAGTTTCTTCTTAAAAATTTCCAGTGTTGGAGCATTCACCGCTTCTGGAGGCAGGTCATTCCACTGGTTAATTGTTCTAACTGTCAGGAAGTTTCTCCTTAGTTCTAGGTTGCTTCTCTCTCTGGTTAGTTTCCATCCATTGCTTCTTGTCCTGCCTTTAGGCGCTTTGGAAAATAGCCTGACTCCCTCTTCTTTGTGGCAGCCCCTGAGATATTAGAATACTGCTATCATGTCCCCCCTCATCCTTCTCTTCATTAAACTAGACATACCCAATTCCAGCAACCGTTCCTTATATGCTTCAGCCTCCAATCCCCTAATCATCTTTGTTGCTCTTTTCTGTACTCTTTCTAGAGTCTCAACAATCTTTTTTACATTGTGGTGATGTAATACTGAATGCAGTATTCCAAGTGTGGCCTTACCAAGCATTGTAAAGTGATATTAATACTTCATGTGATCTTGATTCTATCCCTCTGTTAATACAGCCTAGCACTGTGTTGTTTTTTTTGGCAGCTGCAGCACACTGCTGGCTCATATTTAATTGATTGTCCACTAGGATCCGAGATCCCTCTCACAGTTACTACTACTGAGCAAGGTATCCCCTATACTATACCTATACATTTGGTTTTTCTTGCCTAAATGTAGAACCTTACTTTTTTCACCATTGAATTTCATTTTGTTAGATAGCGCCCAGTGTTCAAGTCTGTCCAGATCCTCCTGTATCCTAAGCCTGTCTTCTGGAGTGTTGGCTATTCCTGCCAGCTTGGTGTCATCTGCAAATTTGATGAGTTCCCCATCTATCCCCTCGTCCAGATCATTGATGAAGATATTGAAGAGCACTGGGCCCAGACAGAGCCCTGGGGCATCCTACTACACACTTCCCTCCATGTAGATGTGGTTCCATTGAGGACCACATGCTGAGTACGGCCGGTCAGTCAGCTACAGAACCATCTGGTGTTGATGCTGTCTAACCTGCATTTTTCTATCTTATCGAGTAGTAGGTTGTGATCTACTTTGTCAAATGCCTTACTGAAGTCCAAGTAAATTATATCCACAGCATTCCTCTGGTCTACTAATTTTGTCACTTGGTCAAAGAATATAATAATTATATGATAAATGGTATTACAGGTAGTCCTCAATTTAGGACCACAATTGAGTCCAAAATTTATGTTGTTAAATGAGAAAGTTGTTAAGTGAGTTTTGCCTCATTTTATGACTTTTCTTGCCACATTTGTTAAGTGAATTGCTGCGATTGTTAAATTAGTAACACGGTGGTTAAGTGAATCTTGTTTTCCCATTGACTTTACTTGTCAGAAGGTTGCAAAAGGGGATCAGATGACTGTTGGATACAACAACTTTCATAAATGTGAGTCAGTTGTCAAGCATCTGAATGTAAATCACTTGACCATGGGGATACTACAAAAGTCATAAGTGTGAAAAATGGTCATAAGTCACTTTTTTCAGTGGCATTGTAACTTTGAACAGTCACTAAATGAACTGTTGTAATTCGTGGAAGAGTCCAGAAATGGCACTTGTGGTGGATTATTATTTTGATGGTTCATTTAATATATCAAATGTAGATAACATTAAACTGTGTTCATCATTCTGTGTATTTATTACTCATAATGTGTACTTATTATAATAGTGCACAGATTAAACTGGGAATTTTAATTGGAGATTTTATAAAATATTATTGAAACAAATTTTGGAACCTCCATATCACTTCAACAAATTACTTTCGTTCATTTGAAAAACACCTCAATAAAAATGAATTGATGAATTGACTTATTTAGATGCTTGGAATAATGGATCTAAATCAAACTTTTTAAAATTTGAATCAGAACATTGTTTCAGATCAGAATAATTTAATGTCGCAAGTATAATTTGACTGTGAGTGGTTAAACTGAAGATTAAAAGACCTGTAGCTCTTCCACAGTGTGAAATAGGTTTTTTTCCTTCAAAAGTGAGTTAGATAAATGTTTTAACAATGTCTACAAGGATATTAAAAGAATAGCACCAAACACAAACTCATTTGTAAATTTATAAATAACTGTAAAAAAGAACTGCAAAACAGAAGGAGGTATGCAGCAGCAGCAGGATTAACTTTCAAAGACCTGCATTTGTAAATATAAAAAATAGATACCGTAATTAAAAGTACTAGGAAGATTAATAGGCCTTGCTATAAAAATTACTTAATGGTTGTCTCCTGTTCACTATCTTTTAAATTACTTTATTCCTTTCAGAAATCTTAGATGCAGTGGTGGGATTCAGCCAGTTTGCACCACTTCGGCAGAACTGGTAGCTATTTCTTTGTTGCCCAGGCCCAGAACGGACTTCCGGAAGGGGCATCCACACAGAGAACTGGTTGTTCACATATTTGAACACCCCCCCCCCACTACTTAGATGCTACCATTTTCTAGACAACTGATGGCAACATGCATGTTCTTTGTGCTAC